CAAAGTTGTATGTGTGGGGCGCGGCGGCGGGCGGGGACGGCGTCGCGGGTGCCGCGCGGCGGGCGATCTCGCGGAGCCACGGGAACGGCAGCTCCGGGATGCGGCGGCGCACGCGGCGCGGGAGGCGCAGGGGGATGCGCTCGGTGATGCCGTGGGCGAGCTCCGCGTTCTGGCGCACCGTGTCGAAGAACGGGTTGAACGCGTGCGTGTCCGTGTCGCGGTCCCTCTCCTTGCTCGGTGCCGAATCCGGGTGGTGGAGGACGGGGGCGGGGCCTGCGGTGGGGGCGGAGACGTCAGCCGGCGGGCGCGCGGAGCGGGGTGTCTGGGGCATGGGGTGGGCCCCGGGGCGGTACTTACCTGACCGGGCGGGCGCCTGGGTCGTGCTCGAGAGCGCGAACGCGGCGCGCGGGAGGTGGTGCGCGCGGAGGACGCGCTGCGGGGCGTCGGGGTCGTCGTCGGTCTCCTCGTCCTCCGTCTCCGTCTCGGGGGTCGGGGGGACGCTCTCGACGAGGTCGCGGCGCTGGCTCCACACGGCCTGGAAGCCGCCCTGCACCCAGGCGAGGTCGATCGGGGCGTCAGGCGCCTCGGCGCGGAACTTGCGCAGGAGGCCCTGGATGTTGGATGTGTCGGAGATGGTCGCCGAGTCGGCGTCGTAGATGAGGATGCGCGGCGCGGAGCGCCAGGCGGAGAAGCGGGTGCGGGCGGAGCGGGACGGCAGCATTGCGGAGAGACGCTGGAGGGAGAAGAGGGGCCGCTTCAGCAGGGTGGAGGGCACGGAGAGGGCGATTGCGCGGGAGATGTGGGCCGAGGAGTAGGCTGCGTGGGGCCGAATGTCGACGACGAGTGTCCGCGGGTCGTCGAGCCACAGCGACAGGGCTGCGGGGGCCACTGCGGTGTACTTTGTGGAGGATGGGGGTTGTTGGGGCTGGGGCGGCTGTTGTGCTCGCTGGGTGGGCTGGAGGGAGAGCTTTGCCATGGGGGTGCTGGGGAGGCGGAGGACTGGCGGGAGCAGACGAGCGGTGAGGACTGGGTCCGGCTGGCCAAAACGGGCTGCGATGGCGTCCGCAAAGGATCTTGTGTCGTCTGTCTGGTGGTGGGACACATTGTGCACATTCTCTATCGCACTGAAAAAGTCGCTCATCGAGGCGGTAAAGAGGAAAAGTGCACAAATACTACGTCATTTGACACCTACTGTCAACATGGTCTAGACTCCCCCTGAACATGATTGCCAAGCTTCTCCCAAGTTCTCTGTTCCGAACTCCGATCCGGATGACGAACCCACGTCTGCCACCCACATCCAACTTCGAAGCACGGCAACCTGCGGTCCCACTGGTCAGGGGGTCGCTCCACTCAACCTTAAGATTATAATAACCTACGTGCGTGGCCCCTCCAATTGGCACTTTCTACAAGTTTCCAGACCCACCACTGCTCGCGCAATCAACTGCGAACTGGCTATTCTTACGCTCCCGACCCTCTGGACAGCCCACCTCGCCCGCTCTTATCCACAATCAACTGCAAGTCCGACTGTTCGACGTCCAGCCTCGAACCGGGTACCTGCATCCCTGCCTCCTGAAATAGGCGTGTTCCCCGGTCAGCACTCGGATATCATGCGTTTATGACATGGGAAAATCGTTGTGGCGGCTTCCAGAACGATTGTGAGATTCGGTTCTACGCGATTACAATGTTCCGGCCTGAGGCAATCAGCTGCAATTTCCCAGGGATTTTCCTGACGAAGATAGCCTTCGCGCATGCTCGCAACCTGCGATTCCACCCCTCAACCTGAAGATTCCTGCGCACGCCGTCGCACTTGCTCTTCTTACGCTCCGGACCTCGCCCGCTCTTACCACAATCAACTACAACTTCCGACTCTTCAGTTGAACCTCCTTCCAAGCCTCGGACCATGTTCACCTGCCTCTTCGATAGTCGGGAAAATACCGTTCCTGCTTGACATTAGTGCCTCTGAGGCCCTGGTGCCTCCCAACCTTCTCCTGACGACCTGCATGATTTTGTGCTATGGGTTTTTATTTGCTATCAATTTATCCGCCTAATGTGCAACGATCTGCACCCAGGTCCAAGCGATAGGCGTACATATGACTCTCATACGCGGGACGCGCATAGAATAGCAATGAACTTCGTCGACTTCAAGCTTGATTTGGCGCTTAGTTGTTAACGGCGCTTGCTTCCGAACTGCCGTGATCTCGCTGACGCCTACAGCCTCACCTCACCAGCGTCCATATTCCAGCTGCCTCCATCGTTCCGAATCTCGGTGGTTATTAGGTCCGCGTTTCCACGATTCTCACGCTCCCGGCCCTCTGGACAGCCCGCCTTGCCCGCTCTCACCCACAATCAACTGCAATTCCGACTGTTCGACGTCCAGCCTCGTTCCAAGCCCCGAACCGTACCTGCCTCCCTGCCTCCTGAAAGTCGGGAAAATACTGTTCCTGCTCAGTGCTTGATATTTAGTGCCTCGAGGCCCTGGTGCCTCCCAACCTTCTCCTGACGACCTGCATGACTTTGTGCTATGGGTTTTTATTTGCTATCAATTTATCCGCCTAATGTACAACGATCTGCACCCAGGTCCAAGCGACAAGAGTATATATGACTCTCATACGCGGGACGCGCATAGAATGACAACGAACTTCGTCGACTTCAAGTTTGGTTTGGCGCTTAGTTGTTCACGGCTCTTGCTTCCGAACTGCCGTGATCTCGCTGACATCTACAGCCTCACCTTCACCCCCGTCCATATTGCTGGCCGTCTCCATTGTTCCGAATCTCGGTGGTTATCAAGTCCGTGTTTCCACGATTCAGAGCGCTAGCGCTTCAACCATGCGACGCGGACCGCGAACAGATTGACATTGTCTGCACCAATACAGTGGCGACATCTATAGTGATGGCAAGGTTCGGTTCAGAAATAGGTTCGAACCTGAACCAAACCAAACTGAACCCCAGGTTCAGGTTCAAGGTTCTGGCTATCGTGATTATTTCCGAACGCGTTCGAACCTGAACCTCAATTGAACCCCAAAGGCCCTGTTTTAACCCAGTTGAGTCTTATTTTCCCGAATTTCGCACATAATTTCACTGGTTATACTCTCTATCATCCGTCATCGTCCTTCCGAATGACTCTAAAGGTTCCTCCCCGTGGTTTTACTCGCAGGACTCAACCGGTGTGTTGTCACATGATCTGTTGAGTACGGAGTTGTTCAGATTGCTGCTCTGTAGGCGTCATATGTGCGTGCAATTGTTCTGGGACGGAAGTTCCAATATCATGGACCACTTATAGTATTTTTGTAGCCCCAGGTAGGTCATTTTGGGCCTGGGAAAAACTTTTAGGTTCGACAGGTTTGAATGCGTTCGAACGCTGAACCGAACTTGAACGCAGGTTCAGGTTCAAGGTTCGGGAAAAAGGGCCCGAACCTGAACCGAACCGAGCTTTGTCATCACTAGATATTTACCAAACCTCGATTCAAGATGTAATCACGGCGGGACCGAATAGACGCGGTAATATAAAGGGATGCAGCTAGCCCGGGACGATTAATCATCTTATCCATCTAGCATGAAGAAAATTGTAGCGACCGCACTTCTAGTAACTTCCCTCGTCCCCGGGCGCGCAGCGCGACTGAGCTCGACGGGGACTGCAAGGTCCAGGCGTGGGTCCGTGCCGACGATTTGGTCCCAGACCACGTCTCTCCCGGTGCGTCGACGATCTCCCCGAACGCCAAGTTACGGCAGCCTAACCTGCGCATCAAAGTCAACTTGCCACCGTATTGCGCCAACCGCGTCGCGTCTGTGGCCCGAGTCCGTCTTCAACTCGACGAATTCGGCGACGTAACATATCTGCGGCGCGGCGCGGTTCTCACCGAGATCCCGGGCCACAGATCCAACAACCAACCTGTCCTGCTGGATGTCCTCGGTTTTTTGGGGGGCAGCTCGGACGATGCCGTCTACGATTATCGGGCCTACGACAGGGCGACCAGCGACTCTGCATTCTGGGTCGTCAAGGGAGAAGAACGCAGGGCCTGGTATCCGGAGGTGGTCCGCTTCCAACACAGTTCAAGTAGGTATTATTATGATCTCGGAAATTATTATTCGTTTTCGCCCAGCCTGATGCACAACTTATGGAACTATTTTCACAGATTCTTCAAAGCCGATGGTCGCCCCTTTCAGCGTCGCCTCGCCGGCCGTAAATTACCCTCCGGCTCTTATGAAAAACACGGCTTCAGTTCTCAACCCATAGTAAGGACTCGGAGGCACGCGTATGAGAGCATGTTTCGCTATTTATTCGTTCACTACTTTATAGTCCTTGGAATATGCCCAAACAGAAAACTGTACTCCCTAGTTTCTCAAATTTTAGACCAGCAAGGAACACTTTCGTCGGGATTTGTTGACGGATCAAGCTCGATCAAAACAAACCAACAACTGTTGAACGTCGCTCCGCCAGTTCTCAAGGGATTCCCCCAATCCGTCCATTTACCTGTGTTTTTGGTCACTCTAAGTAGCACCGAATACCCACGCAATTTTCATACCAGCAACGAATCAAGGCCAACTTGAAACTTGAAAGTCGAACAATTCCGTTTTCGGTGAGATATCGATGGGAGATCAAAGCACGTTGAACATCGATTCTCTGTCGGTTTTCGAGGGATTGCCCCCATTCCTTCAGGCTTGCCTTGTGTTTCTCACTACGAGTACTCCACTCAACCTCTAGACCAGCCAGAGACTGGGAGGCGTTGTCCTAAATTCGAACGGTTCCGTTTTCGGACGAATCTTGATGGAAGGTCAAAATCAATCAAAAAATGTTCAATATCGATTCTCCGTCAGTTTCCAAGGGAATCCTCCCATTCTAATTTCTTTGTGTTCAGGAGTCGGGATACCAGTCCTCTGCACTGCATACCGGTGTTTGCAAGGGAAGCAGAGGGACACTGTGACGGGAAATGCAATTTTGGACAGTTTAGGGCAAAAAAACAAAGGAGGGCTGCAGATCATGTAAATTAGGTGCAAAAATATGGACACATTGGGAATTGAACCCAACACCTCTCGCAAGCTGACCGAATTCCTGGTACGTGAATGCTAAGCGAGCGTGATAACCAACTACACCATGCGCCCGACAAGAGGTAAGAGAGGCGCGGCGTCAGCAGGGAATGAGAGTTTCCCAGTGCACTGAGTCGAAAGGGGCTCGTTCAGCTTTCAAACTTCAAATCTCTGTAAAATAATTATTGATGGCACTTCACGCCCGCATCACATGTCGGATGGACTTTGCAAGTTGTAGGCATCATCTTTCGCACGTCGACATGCGGAATGTCGAATGGCTTAATATTCGAGGGGGAATTGAGGCTTCAGGGAAGGTGCCGAGATGGTACCCAAAATTTGACGAGCGATCAATCGATCAAATTCAAGTTCGAACTTGGTTTCGAACATCATGGTTCAATTTTCTCTCTGAATACGTCGGCTCTCCCGTTTCACTATTGCATATCTCCTTACACATCCCGCTTTTATTTCGAGGCGAATCACCTAGGCGAGCACCTGCACGCTTATGTTGGGGCCTCTTAGGTGGGTTACCGTCGGTGAGTATAACCCACCTAAGAGGCCTGGAATGCAGGTGCCTCCCGCGCTGGAGGCTTCTATTATGTAAATACTACTCCATATGGGTTACATACCATCCAATGACTGCATCCCGTGCTGTCAGCCTCCAGCCTGGCCTCCGTCGCCTCCATGCTGTTGGCCTCCAATCTGGTCTCCATTGGCTCCTTCCATGTGCTCCTCTGACCATGTATCTCTGTCAAGACACAGTATTTATTTGCCTGTACAACATCCAGCCCATTTCACATGATTTGGATAGTTGTATGATTGAATTCATGGGGTGCTGGAGGCCTCCGGTCTTGATGCTAGTGCACGATAGAATTAATTCTAGGGAATTGAGGGGTTGAGTTGGAACATTTGAGGTATCCCGACTCACTTGATGCCTCATTCTTTCACCAGAACCGTGAAATAAGTTCTGTGAGCCACGGATGGTGGCCTGCATTACCGCCTTCAGTGTACCAAATATCAGAGCCTGGTGTTGATCTCTTGAGGTTTAGTCCTCATCTTACTGACTCAATGGCCACCTAGGCTTGTGGTTGAACCCAGTTACCACAGCAGGTTTTCTGGTCGCCATCATTGATGTGTTGGAGGCCACTCGCTTTTCTTTTTCAATTTTGAAGTGAAGGAATGGGTCAGAACTGGGATACACATATTCTCATCACTTTCTTCACTGATTCTTAAGCAGAGAGATAGTTGTTGAAACTTCAAACTTGAAGGGAGCCCATATTTCAAACAACGGGCTGTAATTTTGCTTGGAACCCTTTGCACAACCAAGGCTCACTCGCTGTCTGTACATGCGTGCCCCATGTTCACATTCACATGCCTTGAAAGTAGCTATTAGCATGGAAAGCCTTGTGGCTGGAGGCGTTGGAGGCTGCGGAGCCCTTCAACCTTACCGACTGTTGATACCCAGATGCCCAGTAGGAATGCTGACTTTTGAAACACTGTTTATGATATACTTTGTTAGGAATTGTATTCATACCAATGCCATCTTTTGGATTCTTCAAGTTCGAAGGATGCTGGAGGTGCTGTTGGAGACTGATGGAGGTGGTGCCAGAGGCTGATGAAGGTCATGCCGGAGGCTGCCTAAGATTTGCTGGAGGCCGATGGAGCCTTCAATGCTTTGACCCACACTCCTAGGGTGTATTTTGGGTAACATAATTTATTCATCGGTGTTGAAATATAATTTGAAGGCCTTCATCACTTCTGTCGTGCCAATCGGAGGCCTCCATCACACCTTCATTTAGGTCAATGCTTTGACCCACACTCCTAGGGTGTATTTTGGGTAACATAATGTATAGCCAGCTCCAAATATTCTCTTAAGGCCTTGGTTGAGGGTCAGCTTACTCTGCAGAGGCACCTTCTGAACGCCTCGGGTATGACCGGGCCGAAAGTGATGGGCCAATCAGAATAGGAATAATGGTTAGCGCAATGTAAAACATTTGCTGTGGGGTCAATACTGCACCGAATATCACGAACCTGGCATGCTATGATAGCTGTATGATGCCCGGACCCTGGTGAATCCTTAGATCTCACCTTGTATGAAAATATTCTGGGGTGCACAAATATGAGCTAAAAGTCAACCAAGTTTCATTGTTGGATCTGGGTGACTTCAGTAGAACTTCAAATTCAATACTTTTTGAAAATATTCCCAGTGCAAGATCATCTCATTTAACTCATGGGATGTCTATTTCATGCATCTGAGCTGTAGCTGATACTTATTCCGAAGATTACACCACATGTTCAAAGGGGGGAGGCTCAGAAATCTGTTATAACAGCATTCACATTGCAAAATTGTTGGTTCTACTTCATCTATGTTGAACATCTGATGCTTTTTCATAGTTCCAATAATTGGGAGTCGCGAATAAACAGCCTAGTGTGTTTATAAACCCAAATGAAGGTGTGATGAAGGCCTCCGATTGGCACGACGGAGGTGATGGAGGCCTTCAAATTCTATTTCAACACCAATAAATTCAAATAAATAGTGGACATTGGTTTACGTGAATAATGCCAACATTCAAAGCTTTCACCCAGGAGCTAGCTATACACCAAAATACACCCTAGGAGTGTGGGTCAAAGCATTGAAGGCTCCATCGGCCTCCAGCAGACCTTCGGCAGCCTCCGGCACCACCTCCATCAGCCTCCGACAGCCTCCGGCACCACCTCCATCAGCCTCCGACAGCACCTCCGGCATCCTTCAAACTTGAAGAATCCAAAAGATGGCATTGGTATAAGTGAATACAATTTATAACAAATTATACCATAAACAGTGTTTCAGGAATCAGGCTTCCCGCCAGGTGTCTGGGTATCAACAGTCGGTAGGGTTGAAGGGCTCCACAGCCTCCAACGCCTCCAGCCATAAGGCTTTTCGTGCTAGTAGCTACTTTCAAGGTATGTGAATGTGAACATGGGGCACGCATGTACAGACAGCGAGTGAGCCTTGGTTGTGCAAAGGGTTCCAAGTGAAATCACAGCCCATTGGTTTTGAAATATGTGCTTCTTTCAAGTTTGAAGTTTCAACAACTATCTCTCTGCTTAAGAATCAGTGAAGAAAGTGATGAGAATATGCGTATCCCAGTCCTGACCCATTCCTTCGCTTCGAAATTGAAAAAGAAAAGCGAGTGGCCTCCAACACATCACTGATGGCAACTGAAGAACCTGTGGTAACTGGGTTCAACCACAAGCCTAGGCGGCCAGTGAGTCAGTAAGGTGAGGACTAAACCTCAAGAGATCAACACTAGGTTCTGATATTTGGTACACTGAAGGCTGTGATGGAGGCCACCATCTGCAGCTCACAGAACTTATTTCACAGTTCTGGTGAAAGAATGAGGCAATAAGTGAGTTGGGATACCTCAAATGTTCCAGCGTTGAGCCCCTCAATTCCCTGGAATTAATTCTATTGTGCACTAGCATTGAGACCGGAGGCCTCCAGCACCCCAGGAATTCAACCGTACCACTATCCAAATCTGTAAACCCGCCCACGGTTTACCACTATTTACTGACACGTTACCGTCACGCTCTTATCTTGATCCCTTACCACGACCATCCCCTCGCTACTCTTCTTGTACCCTCTCTTGCTTCGTTGTAGAACTTAGAACGGTCTTATTTTGGAACCCTCGTCTGAACCTTCGCCTAGTGTTTCCTGGCTTACGGTGAGTCAGGTTTCCACTTTTTCCAAAATACCGGCCCCACCGCACCCCATCGATAAGGAGATATCGAGCGATCCCCGCATCGCCGATCCTCCACAACCCCGCCTCACCCCCCACAACCCCACTGCTACTGTACCGTAACTAACGGGCCTCATCGCAGGCGCCGTTCACCGTCACCGCACCGCACCGACCGCCACGTCACGGATCACCACACTGTCTTCACGCAAACCCTCCGTCCCAACGTCTCTCCCTACGCGTTCTCGCTCCCAGCAGCTTGAATCGCGCGAGACCGAATCCCTCTCTCCGTTAACGCCCTGTGAATCGCTCCCACCGCTCCCCGAAACGTCGTCATCGCCCGATCCATCGCCATCGCCACCCGCGAAAATTCCGCCCTCGCCGCCCCACAGGCGCCTCCTTCTCGACTCGTCCGACTCGGACTCCTCCCCCCAACGCCCCCCACACCGCACCATGTCCACCCACGCTACCCTTGATGCGCCGTCCGGGAAGCCGCCCGTCCTCCACCAGGGCGAGTGCGACCCCGCCGTTATACGGAATTTCGAACTTGCTGTCACCAACTACGCCACCCTAAAGGGTCTCGACACCGACAAGGAGATCATGGAGGTCGTCGTTGGTTGTTTCCGTCACCACGTCATCACCGACTGGCTGTCCATTCCCGATGAGCACGCCCGCGTCCTTGCTCTCCCCTTTGCGGCGTTCATGAAGGAACTCCGTGAACAGCTCCTCCCTCCCGACTGGGAGCGCACCCTACGCTTATCGATGCTCAACCGCCGCCATCAAAGCCCCGAACCTTTCTACACTTTTGTCATCGCCATTCGTGCCCAAAACTCCCTCCTGTCCGGTAGCCCCTCTCATCTCACCGACGACGGCCTCCGATCCCACCTCGAGACCACCATGTGCAAAGACCTTATGGAGGACTATGACTCCGACGCCACGGCCAAGAGCGAGAAGACCTTCGCGCTGTGGCTCGCCGCCGTCAAGCGTGTTGATGACAAGCGCCGTCGGGATATTAGCCGCATCCACGCCGCTGCCGCCGAGGAGCGTGACCGTCGCGAGCGCGACCGCAAGCGGCGCCCTGACGACGACGGCGATCGCCCCTCGAAGAAATCTAACAGTCAGAATGTTCCCCCCACCTCCGGCCCTTCCTCCTCCGGCTCTGGCAAACGCTGCCCCGCCCTCACCGATGCCGAGAAAGACCTCCTAGACTCCAACTTCGGCTGCAGGAAGTGCCGCAAGCCTTTTGTTGATCACCGCTCCAGCGACAACGTGTGCGACTTCCCCCCCCCGCTCAACTACAAGCCCGTGTCCGCCGCCGTGGTGAAGTCCGCCTTTGCCGCTCTCCCGAAGAACCGCGCCGAC